TAAATGGTGGTGGTGGATAGAGTTATGAAATTGACGATAGTGGTAAACATTTGTGGTCATAATGGCATTGGTGGGTGGTGGTGAGCGGTACAAGAATAAAAGAGAGAGACTGATCAACACTGTTGGTGGCGCTGGATGGTCATGTCGCTCGAGGTGGTGGATGACATCATAGTGACACTGTGGCATTGGTGAATGGCAGAAATGGAAGAATAAGAGAGAAATGGAGAGGAGTGGAGATATATGTATGAGGAAGGATAGAGAGAGATGCAGAAGAGAAAGGTAGATAGATAAGGTAGAGAATACATTAGCTTGAGTGAAAAAAATGAAAGATATAGGTGACAAAATGAAAATTGAAAAAAGATCTCTAACTATTAAATTATAAACTAAAGGATCTAAACCGTTCTTGTAATTTATAAAGGGTATATTTGTAAATTATTCTTGTAATTTTTGCATATTGTCTTAATATGCATAAAGTGCGAAGTTCTATGTTTTGTATTCTGTCTACTTATCAACTCACAATTTTATTCTCTCTCACAAATATATATATATATATATATATATATATATATATATATATATATTTGTTTTAGTAATATTCTATTTTTGCATATATTTTATATTGAGTAAAGAGTTATCATTTATGTTTAGAAGAAGGAGGACGAGGACGAGGAGAAAAAGAAGAAGGAAGAAGGAGGACGAGGAGAAAAAGATGAAGGAGGAAAAGAGAGCTTAGGACGAACAAACAGGAGCAGAATTTACCAATTTGAAGTAGTAAATAACGAAGAATTTGGTATCTTATTCAAGATTGTGTTATTTTGGTTGCAGCAAAATATCAAACACATGGGCATCTATATACAGTAAACACCCCATGTAAACTATAATTCGATCATAAAACGTTGAACCACAACATTTATTTATGCAATGGTATCAGAAGAAAAGAAATTAATACTAGAAGACCGCAAAAAACATAAAAATAAACAACAATAAAATGGCCAACTGCTCCAATTTGAACAAACACTGTAATGGATAGCTACATCAATTTCATTCCAAGAACAAAACTATATAAAACATCTTTAGCAAAATTAAACTCGATATAAGACATTGAACAGATAATACGATACTTTGACCAATAAGAAAAAAACATATAGCAAGTATCATGAGAAAATGGGTATCAACTCAACAGTTGAATGACAACCACCACACAAAATTAAAGACAAATAAGGCATCTACACATGCACATAACATATAAAGTATCTAAAACAACAGTTTAAAGCGTTTGAGGGGGAAGATGAGTCACCATAGAAAAAGAGTCAGCCAAGTCTTAAAGATTGATATAACCACCTCAAAGAACATCCCACTTTTAGCCCACCCTCCAGTGACCATTATAATATCATTTAGACAAATTGAAAGAAGAGGATGAAATGTTTCCCATGAAGAAGCAAGGGCCAGTTCAGGAGGAACTAATTTTTCTGCTGCTCATATAGAGCCTCAGATAAACAAAATAGCTGCCTAATCCTATTTTGTAGATCGCTTGGTTCTTCTATAAGATTGTATCAAAAGTTCATTAACTATTCATGACACTTGGGTGGGACACAATGCACCCAGGGGCGGAATCACATGATAAGGAGGGGGGCACTTGCCCCCACTGACATTTGGCTAATCCTCCAATTACCTTTGTACATTTAATGCTATGAAATCATAATTATGTCAAATTCATTACCTTGCCCCCATAGTTATTAGGAATTCATATAGTGGTATTAGTAATTTATTTTTCAGTAAGTTATTGGTCCACTCTTCCACCTACCAAATGAAACAAATATTTTGATTTTGGACTAAGAAAAACATATATAAATATCTTAACCATATGATATCTTTACAAAATACAATACCTTTGTTATTTAATACATTATCTCTTATTTTTTAAAAATCAATCATGTAATTGTCTCTAATTTTGTTTTAGCAAGCTCTAGGCCATTAACTATGTATAACATAATTAGATTCAAAAGATAAAACATACTCTCCAAAAAATCATCAAGTTCTCAACGAGATTCATAATAAGGTGAAAAATAATTTCCTCGTGTACTCTTTAATTGTGTACAATAAAAAAAATGTGATAAATTAGCATTGAATCTATTGATGATTTGTGAGACTTATAACAACGTACCTGTGTTTCTTTTTCATTTAAGAGTGAGTTCAAATGTACTATCAAAAAATTATTATGTCTGTTTTTGTTCATATTTTGTTATGACTAAATTGATATTATTCTGATTTTCATCTAGAAATTCAATCTTAAAATTTTAATATATTTCCTGTACTTGAAACTAGGAATTTTTTCATATCAAAAGAAAATCCTGGTTAGTATTTATTAATCTCAAGAAAGCTTTACATGAGTTGGTTAATTTTTCATTCATATTTTGCCCCCTCTAGAATGTAATCCTCAACCCCTGAATGCATCCCCTGTGGGAGTTTTTCTTTTTGATCAAAACTGTGGCAGAGAAGGGCAAAATAGAGAGGAGGGAGGTACGTACCTGTTATGGTTCATAAAGGCTCAATAGCGATGGTATAGACTTCAATATCGTCTCTCAAATCCACCATTAAGCCGAATCTTTCAACAGTCGATCTGCAAAGACATCATCTTCAAGACTCCCTTTTTCGTCTTTTCTCCCTGTGGTCGCAGCTGGTCTCGTTGTGGTCGTTCATCACCGGTGGAGTGGAGTGGAGCTCTGTTGAAGAATTTCAGATTGTTAGAATTAGGACACATCGAACTACTAACATCCATGTTACTCTTTGTAATTCTGTACTTATTCCTTGGTTCAGGCACAATTCCTTTCACCCTATTTCTTCATGCAGCAAATCAATTAGAAAAAACAAAGAGATTCAATCACAATGGTAAGAAGAGACAGAAATCAAAAAATCGTTGAAATCAAATAATCGTTGCTCGAGTATTTAGGTTAGTGTTTTGAGAGAAAGATAGAGAGGGTAGGGGCTGTGGGGTGCTCTATCTTCTTCTTCTCCAAAAGACTGCCTTTGTAACAATGTGTCATTGTGGGCGGTGGGTGAAAAGGAGGAAGAAGAGGGTGAGTGGAGGACCTCTTTCATGGCTTCGTCTTGTTTTGGAAAGATTTTGATTGAAAACAAAGATGGGTTCAACTTCAATGTGGAAAAGGGTGTTTGGTAGGAGGGAAATCAACAAAGAAAATATTCAAAATTAGTAAGGGATGGAGGGTGAAGTTGAATGGAAGCAATATTAATGGGTGGGCAATTCTGGACTGGACCTTGGACACCATTGGACCAATGGAGCCTTGAAGAAGCAATATATGGATGGAGAGAGAGAAAGAGAGAGGGTTACCTAAGGCCAAGAGGGATGGTGTCGCTGGCGGCGGTGTTCGATGGCGTCGCTGACTATGTTGGATGACTGGTGGTGTCTGGCGGTGTTCTAGGGCTCGCTGGCGGAGAGAGAGGGGGGAGATATGTATGGCGTAGATGGCAGGGGGGGGGGGGGAAAGATGGGCAAAGAGGAGAATGAGAAAGAAGAGAGAGGGGGCGCCGAGAGAGAGGGGGCGCCGAGAGAGAGTGATTTAGGGGTTCCTAAAATCAAATAAGAGTATTTAGGTTAGTGTTTTGAGAGAAAGGGAGAGAGAGAGGGTAGGGGCTGTGAGATTGAATGAAGTGAAGTAATCGAAGAGTTGAGAGGGAGAGAGAGTGATTTAGGGGTTTCCAAAATTGGAGAGATAAAAGAGAGTGGAGGAGAGAGATGGCGCAGATAGGCGGCAAGTGGCAGCAACGGTCAAAACTCAAAATTCAGATGCAACGGTCTCCAATTAAACACACTCTGTCTCTCTTTTTAAGTTTATAAACTTTGATGAAGAAAAAATTAAATTTTAATATTGACTTTGATCGTAGATACCGTACAATTATTTAGAATTAATCTTTTGATTATATATTATAAATATAATAACAAGAAAATAATGATCTTGATATGAAAATTTATTTTAAGAAAAAGAGAAAAATAATTAAATATTAAAATGATCTCTTTATTTCTACTAACAAACAAAAAAACATAGAAAAATAGGTTAAGGTCTTACAAATAAAAAATTAATGGATCCTAAAGAATTAGAAGATAATAAAATAATAAGAATAAAAATATATACACCACAACTATTTCGGATGCAAAACATACAAAAATTTTAAAGGAACGAAAATTTTACTATTCAAAAAATCTCATTTAAGATCGACTATGTCATAAAAAATAATAAAGGAATTAGTGAAAATAGTTTGAAATGACTTAAAAAGACTTTTAAAAGCCTTGTACACATCAACTAATATCATGATTGTGATATCCAATTGAAATTTTCAAGCCTCTATGATAAAGGTTTTATCATAGTATAAATTTTTTTGAATTTTTGACTTATTAGTTGATACACACGTACTTAACACATGGATCATTTCGGGATAACAAATAAACTTTACTCCATGATTATAATTTAAGGGACACCTTCAAATATCCAACTTGCATACCGTAAAAAATTTATAACACAGACGCCTAATTATGTTTCCATTGCGTGAGTTCTCTAACCAAAGAAACATAATCTCAAACAACACCCTTTTGAGCTTTATTCTTTTAATTATACCACTTTGATCCCTCAATTTCTTAATTTACAGGATTTTGGTTCAATAAAAAACTACAAACTTGAATTAACCGAAGAGGCAACCATCAGAAGAAACTCCACTGCTGTTGATATTAGAAAATATGAAACAGTGAATTGAAAAAATGAATGTCATTTGAGTATGTGAACTCAATTTAATATATAAAAAATAGAAGCTTTTTCAATAATTCAGAAAAATGGAAGACTCCAATCCAAGCAGAAACTTGAATATCTTAGTCAGTCATGATCTGTGAGAATCAACTGGGATTTGTTTCATTTTCTGATCATATTCTGAATTTTCTTGGAGAAAATTGGACCTGAGAGCATCATGCTGCTAGTCATCTTTTTCTTCACTCATTCTCTCTCCTGAATTGCTCCATCAATCTCTTCTATCCTTCTCAACACTTGATTCATCTTGGGCCGATTCTCCGGTGCCATATCAGTACACTCAAAAGCTATCTTTGTCAGCTTCAATATCTCTGCATGACCTTCTTTTCCTGCCAGTAGCTCTATATCCAATATATCAGTTGACCAATCAGTGTTCACAACTGTTCTAACCCAATCTGAAAGATCATCAGCACTAGTTCCCTCGTCTCCCAGGGTATTTTGGCCCGGGATTTTGCCAGTTATGATCTCTAAAAGAACAATACCAAAGCAATAGACATCAGCTTTGCAAGTGAGTTTCTTCCCTCGAAAGAATTCTGGTGTTTTTCCAACAGCAAGATTTTCAGAGAGTTTTCGAGATTGCAGGAGGGGAAAGAACCCGAAATCAGTGAGCTTGGAGTGGCAGGTTTGGCTGTTCCAGTGGATAAGAACATTGGATGAATTGAGGTTTCCATGAGGCACCTTGTGTGAAGGCAAGGACTGTTGGAGGAATGTAAGACCCTTTGCTATGTCTTTGATGATTGATAGTCTTGTAGTCCAATTTAGTGGTATTCTTCCCCTTCCTCTGTTCTCTGTCATCCAAATATTGAGAAGTCAAGTTTCCCTTTATGGGTTTTAAATCAAATTTCTCACTATTTATGTATTATGTCCAAGGATCAAAATTACGTTTCGTTTCAATCAAAACAATGGAAACTTTCTGTTTTTCAGTGAAAACTCAAAACAAATTGGAACATCAAAATTCCCATGTATTAGGATGTTTTGGGTGTTTCAGAATCAAAGTTCTAAATTTTTTTTATCTATTTCCATTTTATTTTCAAAGCGGATCAAAACTTCATATCATTTCCATGGAAACCGATACAAATTACTAATGGAAAATCCAAATTTCTATATTTTGAAATGTTTCAAGAAGTTTTGAAATGTTTCAGCTAATGTTTCAAAATCCAATTTTCTCTATTTTCATCATGTTTGTGAAAACGTTTTGCTTATGAATTAGCAGCAACTAAGCGGCAAGACAAAATTTTGTTCCTTGGTTCTCTTGTACCACTTCATTACAATATGAAGACTATGGAGAGGAGAAAAATGAAATGCTAGGTAGAGAAAGAACAAACCATGCAACAGCTCAAACAAGTTGCCATTGGGAACAAAATCATAGATTATCAGCTTCTCCTCCTTTGAATAGTAGAAAGAAACAATCTCAACAAGGTTTTCATGCCTCAGGTTTCCAAGCAACTGCATCTGCTGAACAAATTCCTTCTTACTCAAAGCATTCATGTGTTTCAATCTCTTAACAGCCACAACCGAACCACTTTCAAGCATTGCTTTGTATGTAGTACCTAGTTTTCCCTTCCCTATCACTTCAGCTGATGCCCTCAGCAAATCATCCAGGTCGAAAATCACTCTATTTTTGTCGAAAAATTGTAACTCTACTGTTCTTTCTGGATCCTCCATGTTCTGAGACCAATGCGTCTTAGTTGCCCTCACCTCAGAATGTTCTCCTAATTAAAGAACAGTAAAAGATAAAGTTACAATCTAGATTGAATATGAAGAAATTTTTTTGGTACTAGCACCTATAGTTTCATGTTTAGCATGCCCTCCTCTGGATTTTGCGAGCTGTTTCAACCACTGCTGGATGTGATTCCAAAACCCGAACAAGAATGAATAACACACAAAAGAGTCACGTACCATGGCTTATTCAACTAGCCCGGTAACCTACCAATTGTACAAGTGGGATTTTTGTCAAGCAATAAGCATTGAAATAATAAAATTCCCATGTACCATCTTTGTCATTTTGAGGAAAAGGTATTGAAGGAAAAAGACAGCGGGATCCGAATTGCATTAAATGGGAATGACATGAAAAGTCTTCTTCAAAATCTAGCATTAAGGGCGTTACGACTATACATGAGAGGAATGGAAAAAACACATGATTGTAGAACATACCTGCCTTCTCTCCTTTTTTTCCATGGACTTTCTTGTTATAACAGAGAAAAACAAGGATGACACAGAAGGGAACTGCTGCTGCTGCTGCTGCAATCAAAGCAATACTCCATACCTTGAGAACCACCTTATTCTTCTTTTTTGATGGAGGGTAAGGAACTGGGGGTGGAGTAAGAGGCAAAACTGGGCATGTTATTTCAACTGGTCTCCCACACAGATTGGAATTATGATCATAGGAGCTTTTCGAAAATCTTTGAAGAACCCGAGTGTCCGGGATTTCACCATCAAGTTGATTATAAGAGACATTGAAAACCTTCAAGGTTTGCTGATCAAAAGGTGGGATTGAACCACCAAGAGAATTATTTTGCAGTTCTAATTTAGCTAGCTTTGGCAATTCAATGTAATTCAAAGGAATTGAACCCGAGAATTGATTATGTGACAGGAACACAAATTCCAGGTTCATGAGATTCTTGAGACTGGGAAGAGGACCGTGGATTGAATTGTTTCTGAAGCTGAGTTTGCTCAAGAAAGTTAAGTTCTGCAGGAATGTAGGTGGGAGAGAACCAGTAAGCTGTATATTTTCCAGGACAAGGTGTGTGACATGCCAATTGGAACAAACAATCCCTGCCCATTGGCTCTTGCTCTTGTGACAAGGGGGACCGGTCCAATTCGCGTGCAAATTGGAAGAAGAATTGACTATGTCTCTAATCTGCATTAAAGCATCTCTTTCATCAGGAAAGTACTCATTGATCTCAATCGATTTGACTATGGTTATCAATCGTATTTGGATCATAAAAACCGCGCAAATGATGAGTTTGCGATGTGAAGCGGACGTAATCATGGTACTAGCCTGCACATGAAGCTCCCGTCACTATAACGTTTCGAGAGAGTCAGATGTACGCAGTCTTACGTGCGGAGAGATTGTTTCCTCTCGACTGAAGGGCTGCCGAGAAGAATCCTGTTGTGGACAGATTCAGGGCCTTGAGATGGAAGTGAGACAAGGGTATACAAGTACAAAAATGGTGAGAATTCAGAGTGAACAAAGACATGTCATCCCCTTTACATTATTATTGTTACAGCTTTTTGACGTAGTTGGCAAGGCAAGTTTGATATAGATTCGAGTATTAAGACCTGAAAGCGGAAACAACAAAGTAAAATTATTTTTCTATCTACACTCATAAACAGGTTGGTGTGACTATATATATATATAATAGTGAAATGTAGAATCGTTGGGATTTTTCTATCTACACTCAACAAAGTACTGCTGTTGACAGCTTAATTACAAATCATTGGGATTTTTTATTTTTGCTGAGCTATTGGGAAAAAGACTTGGATTTTGATCATGGCTACACATATGGTCTCGGTGGTTGTTTCTGGTTGTGACTGAAGAATGTTGGCGACAGTTGCACCTAAAATGTTTTACGTAGTTACATGATTACAGGTTTGGAGAAAAAATTGCATGCGAAGGTACAACTGAAAGAATTTTTTTTTTTTTTTCCGAAACTCTTAAAGGTGATTCGGTGATTGAGTCTAGCATTTGGTAATTCAGAGATCCCAAGTTTCAATCCCTTCCCACATCGTCTAAGAACCACCCACACTTGTTCTTCAGAGACATGTTCTAACCAATTCATGGTAACAGCTATTGAATTCAAGGAAGCAGTCAGTGCAAACTTAATCATCATATAACAAAAAAAAAAAAAAGTATCTGATCTTCTTTTTCATTCAATGAGAATGCTCCATGTAAAGTTTTCTTACTTTATTATTGGGTAAATATCCCAATTAGTCTTTAAACTTGATCTCTTGTTTTAAAATGATTATTTTCAATTATCTCAATTTAGTCAATAAACTATCAATTTTTGTGTCAATAAAACTCTTTTGTCTATTTCACCTAACGCAAACAAGTCTAAGTGTTTGTCATATGATCATCTGCATCATATGTCACCTTGTTGTTTCAATGGCTAAAAGCACAGAATTTGAAGTTCAAACTAAATTATTAAAACAATTAAAAGTTTATGGGTCATTTTACAACAGGAGAAAAAGTTTGAAGACTAATTACGATATTTATCCTTTACTATAATCTCACAATATGTTCTTTGCTATTGTTTGCACAAGCTAATAGCTCGAGAATTCAATTCATAACATCACGGTTTGATACTTTTACCATGGCATCAAGAAATGACCCAATAACTATACACAGTCAAGAATCAAGCAAAATCCTCTACAGCACCAAATCAAAGAACAAAGAGATACAATCATTTGTCATTCTTTTTCTCTTCCACAAGTAGGAGATCAGCCATTCTTATCGCCCTGGACAGAGATGGAAGTTCTTTTCTGTTCTAAAATATCTAGATGCTGAATTATAAGACCAAAATATACAGACAACAGCAGCTCACACTGAGAGATTCTCATCAAACCATGAAAAAAATTCTTCCTGTGACCGGTAGATTACATATTCTCCCTCTGATGCTATCAAAATATCATAACAAAGAAATTCACGCATTGTTGTGGGGCTTTTTGAGAGATAATGGAACATTTTGACCATAGTAAAAAAAACTAAGAAATAACACCATTGCTGAACTAGAACATAGTAGAGTCTCCAATCAATCTTCTTCACTATCAGAACTCTCATAAGCTGCTAGCAAGCTTTTAACGGGGTTGTTCACTTTGGCTTCATCTTCTGCTTTATTTGGTCTTGTTGGAGGATACTCTTTCTCATCCTCAATAGCCTCGGATCTTGATATTAGATGGACCTCATTCCCATCAGAAGCACTTGTAACTTTCTGCCGCTTGGGTTTGACTTCCACCACCTTTTTCAAAAAAACTTGCTGCCTGCAAAGCAGTAAATTTTCATCACACATTTTAGTTGTGCAAAAAATATAAAGAATATGTTGTGCAAGCATGTGAATACGAATCTCCTCCCATTTTTCTATTTGAGAGAGAAAGAGAGAGATGAACCTAATCCCACTCTTTGGCTTGGGCTCGACACGGAGGGGCAAGGGAACACTTGCAGGCGAAGAATCAGCAACACTTGCAGCTTTGTGTCAAAGGGTCAAGGAAATGTCAGAAAAGGGAAAAGAAACAACAAATGCACCTTTGTATGGAGCCTGGAGGAATCATACTACATGGCTTGAAGGGGCCAGAACTAGAATATACCCAACCAACAAGGCATTAGCATATGCAGTTTACACATTCACTAAATATGAACACGACCTTCAGCAAAAAGAAAAGGCAATGCAAAAAATAAAGATCAGTATGAATCTAATTTTGCACAAAATATACCGACAGATGTCTATATCCTTTGGTAGTGATTATTCCTTTCTCATTTCATTCCATTTCACAATGGTTCATTTGAATGAACGAAAAAGGATATTTTAAATGCAGCAAAAGCACGTTTTTCAGTGCGGCGTAGCAGGCGCTCTGCATCCTCCTCAGCTTCCATCTGCTCCTTGAGATAGAGCAGATCATCACTGTCCAAGGCTGCATATTTAAACTTAACCAAAGCTCAAGAACAATCCATAGATATGTAAAATAAAATATAAATATAAATTTTGAAGAGGGGAATGACAAATTTGTACCGCCTCGTCCATGTAGGTAGCCTCCACGCTCTCCTGCAACCTCTTGCATCTGTGTACATCAACAACCCGGTAGGAGAAGCCAAGATCCCTGCCAGGGCATGTTATCAGGAAAGACTCCCAAATTTTCATAAGGATCACCATACAATGGAAACAAATAAGGTAAACAAGTTAAACCATGTTACCTAATCGTGTTTTTTTTTCCTTTGAACTGAATGTTACCTTATTGTTCAATGTTGCGCATATCAGATGAACAAGTCGTTATTTATTTTTACAAATTGAAGTTCTTATAAGTGATAACAACAAAAACATGCAAGTTAAATGAGAATTAAAATTAGAGGTGCTTATTACCAGCCTTTTGAGAATACCTGAGTTAATCCCACGGGCGTTTGCAAAAACTTAAAGTGAACTAAATTCCATGAGATGGAGAGGATGTATTTCATTTTCTTAGGAAATGGGAGTGTCATAAGTTCATTGTTACTCTTAAAGGATATAAGAAAGTCTGGACCCTCCATTCAAAGGAAGACTTACTTGATGCAGTTGCTAATGTTTGGCTGAAAAATGACAATAGGCTTTTGGAAGCCTAAAATAAAAGCCATGGGGCCCCACTTCAACCAGTAAGCCTTTTTGATAGCAAACGCATTCTTAGCAGCTAGAAGAGTGTTAAATATTTTTCATTTTGCACCAAAACATATGGGTCGGATATGTTCATTTTTTACTTCCATATCAAGATTATGCCAGTGATTTTCAAGAGTTTCTAGACATGGGCTGTAAATGTGGTCCACAGGCCATAATTGGGAAAAGTTACCAATGGGGATCACGAGAAACCCACCTTCTGCACCTGCGTGAGACGAGTGCATTGGACCTATTGTGAGAAGCCCATGAATACTAGGCCTATAGTAATTGGGGATTCACCTATGCTATTTTTTTCCGATCAGGAACCTATGGTATTCAATATCGAATATTGCAATTAGAATTAGAATTGGAATTGCTGTTTTCAAACTTGTTTTTCTTCTCTTTTTGTTTTCACCTTTTGCCCACTGTCCCACTGCCTATTAAGAATCAAAATTTCGTTTCGATACATTGTTTCAGTAACCCAAAAAATGGAAATGTTTTAAAAATGTTCCTGAAAAAGATGAGAATTTATTTCCAAAACATTTGTCGAAATATGCAAAAAAATCTTAAAACACCTCAAAATATTATGAAATATTAGTGGAAACATGCCACAACATCTCAAAACATTCCAAAACATCTTAAAACATTGAAATTTCGATTCTGGTCTCTTTGGAAATGAAAACGTTTCGGCTATTTCAAAATAAAATTTTGATCCTTGCCACTTATGTCAGTTATGCGATTTGGATTCTATTTTCAGTCATACGTTTTCTAGGATAATTACAGATTTATGACTCATATTCTTAGGTAGTGTTTGTTTGGAAGAATAAAGGTAGATAGGACATGTTAGATTGGATTCAAATACGGGGGACCCACATATCCCAGCTTTGGATCCAAAAAATGCAATGGGATAAACGTTGGGGATTGAATTACTTGGCTGTAGGAATTCATGAACTAATCCTCTCTAAACTGGATAAATGAAACCCACCTAGCATGTGGGATTCATTTACTCGGATGAAGCCACAGATGAAATAACATGTCATTTTACATTATTGCCCTCAACATTTGACTTCCATCTCTCTTGCTGAATTTTTTTTTATTTTTTATTATTGAAACAACAAAAAAATAAAATTTGGCATGTGTTTAAAATAAATTAAAAAAATTTCCAATTTTTTGATCTTGTGTACTTAAACAAAATAGAAAAAAATTATTAAAAAATTGATTATACTCTATATTATATACTACATTATAATTTTTCTTCTAAATAGATATTACTTAATTTCTGACATTCAGTATTTAATTACATAAATTTTGAGAGTAAACGTGCGAAAATATTCGGTCTAAGTCAAGTTTAAATGAAAGGGTTTGAGTCTCATTAAAAAATCACATTTGTTCAGTGGTGTTGGGTCTCATTACATCTAAAATTTTGTTTCCTTAGAGATGAACTCTAAAAAAAAATTAACATTTTAATTAAAGCAACATATTTTAAAAGAAAATTTTCAACCACACTCCCTGTAGTTTACCATATCTTCAAGGACACTCCCTCTAGTTTTTGAATCTTCAATGACACCTCCTGTTAGATTAAAAATATTAAGTAAAATACAATTTTACTAAATTGTCTATGATATATTTGAGGACAAACTTCATCCACACCTTCTCTAGATAAACATATCTTCAATGAGACAAGTATATTTTCAATGAGACCCCCTTTGTTTTCTAATTTTTTTTACGTAATTAAATTCAAATCGATTAAAATTCGATTCAAGCTAATTAAAATTTATTTTTTTACATATATTAAAATTTATGCCAATTAAAAATTATATTTTTTTTACGTATTAGAATTTGGGCCAATAAAAATTTTGTTTGAGCCAATTAAAAATTATTTTTTATCGACCCAAATCAAATTTTAATTAATTCGCATTGAATTTTAACCAGCCTAAATTTTAATATATAAAAATATGTGAATTTTAATTAACTTAAATTTTAATAAATCTAATTTTAATTTACACAAATTTTAATAAAAAAAAAATATAAATTATAATCGACTCGAAAGAGAATTTTAATCGGCTCTAACAACTCAGATAGAGTTCAAATCGGCTCAAATTTTAATATGTAAAAAAAAAAAATTAATAGGCTCGATTTTTTTTTAAAAATTTACTAATTAGTAAATAAAAAATTAGTATTTACTAACAAATTATTTACTAAAATTGTTATTTATGATTTTTTTAAAATTTTATGTAAAAAAATTACTTGAGGTTATGTAGGGGCATTTTTGGTATTTTAGATGAATTTATTTTGTTAGAAATAATAGTTTAATGGTAGGAGGTGTTAGTGATGTTTAAATTAAACTAGAAGGGGTGTCATTGAAGATTCAAAAACTAGAGGGGGTGTCCTTAAAGATATGGTAAACTAAAGGGGGTGTCATTGAAATTTTCCCTATTTTAAATTGACCTAATTTGTGGTATTAATTCTGGCAATAATATTAAAATGTCCTCATGAAAAATAAATTGCATTTGGGTCATTGAAAAAATTTAATATGGTTCAGATTAATTTTGCTATTTATTGAAAAAAAAAACAATTAATTTTTATTTTTAAACACACAACTTCAGGTTGTCTATAAATAAACAAATAACGACTTAGGCTTGAGTGGTATCGATATGTGTATTGTTTTTGTGTTGGAAATTTTTTTTTTTTCATGATGCATATGATTTTTGTGATTAAAAGTGTACTGTACAAATTTAATTAAATAACTAAACAAAATATTTATTGGTATATTTTGTAAAAATGCATAATTTATTGATTCATATTTTTTGTTGTAAAAAAAACAATATTAATGGATTGAACTTTTTTTTTCATTCCATTCCAAACATGGTATAGGATTACATCACATTGTTTACATAAGAGTGAAATGGTCATTTTAGCATATTTTATCTTCACATGTTAATGGAGCCCACATAACAATTGAATCCCATACAAAGATGGGATAGGATTTGAATCCCATCTTTATAATCCTCCAATCCGAACCACTTTACATTGGATTGGATTAAGTTAGGATTCTAATCCAATCCTCCCATGATGAACCAAACACCATCTTAGGGTTTTAGGATGAAACCTGAGGCAGCCTCTTTGTGCAAATTATATCCCACAATCAATCTACCCCTCCTAGACCCCTAATGGTGCAAAACTAGGTGTAGCAAAAATTGATTCAATAGACTTTGCTTTTATAAAAAAAAATTGTGATTGTATTCATGAGATACTATCAGGGTTGTATGGTGATCCCTCTTTTCTCTTTTCCTCCTCTTTTTTCTCTTCTGAAATTCTAGGTTTACATAAACTTGTGATCAGGTCTGAACCATAAGACTCATTTTGGAGCTCAGACCACCTCTCTACCAAATCTTAGACCCTAGCAGCCCAAAACCACCTGAGCACCAACGTTACTGTTAACGAATTACTCAACACTAGAGTAGTCATGACCAAAAAAGAAAAAAAAAACACTAGAGTAGTCCCTGAAACCTCCCTTAAACCATTCCTTCTGATTCCCAGAACCTCAATCAAACAAGCACCATCAATCCGCAGCTTTTTCCCATTCTTTTGGCCTTCAGATAAATTCTTACGACCCCCTAGAGCCAGCCGTCCAAATATTATGACCTTTTCCCTGAGTTTTATTCAGCTTGCCTCTTTTGAAACTAAGCTTCTTTCATTCATAAAACAACCACAAACCTATTACCCTTTTTCTATCTTGTAGAACCATGGCTTGTTCGGTTGCCAAACTTCGAAAAGGAGGATTAGATAATCAAGCTCAGTCCAGTCCTATTAGGCAGAATAAAAAGGGGGGAAAGGATTCCATTTATCCCTTGATAATTTTGGTCCAGTCTGATAAAACAGGGCATCAGGGGTAGAACAACAATTTGCTTCTTATCCCTTTCAACTCATAGTCCCGAGATTCAATACCACCCCCAAACTTGTTAAAAATGGCCAACTCAAGGGGACTAACACGGTGTCGGGAAAATACACTGTGGACATTATCGGATACCTAGTCCAGAATGAATTTGCCTATCCAAATGTAGGAAAAGGGCGGACCGCGGACGCACATATTTTTATTCTAGTCCCTGCATATAGTTCCCCATAGTTCAGCAATCAAATGAGACTTAAATGTTTGCCATAACCTGAATTCACTGGAAAATTAATAGGCAGCTCTATTTAGGGGTGCAACTCGGGTGGGTTGAGAGGTCAACTCTAACCTAACCCTAGGTATATAATCTTTAACTCTAACCCTAACCCAACCTCAACCCTAGGTACTCAACCCGAGTTTAATTCGGGCTGATTTCAGGTTAAAAATCGGATTTGGCTCAGGTTACTTAATTCGGGTTAATAAAAGAGAGAGGAGTGGCGAGTAAGAGATGGAGGCTGAGAGTCTAAGACGAAACTTTGATGAGTGAAATAAGGAGACTGAAAGTCTGAGACCCGATAAAAAACGAGTAACAACTGAGAAAGAGATCTGACAGTGACGGAGGCGCAAGGGTGAAGACTTGAAGAATAGTGAAGATAAATATTAACTCTAGTTAAATATATTTGTATATTTATGTATATTCGGATTCAACTCGATTTAATAATAGGGTTCAACCTGAGGCTTACCCGAATTCAATTCGGGTTAGGGTTTTTTTGCCCCGCCTAACCCAACTATTAAAAAATTTAACCCAAGCCCTTTTTTTCGGGTTGGCCCTCCCAAGTTGCACCCCTAACTCTATTCCAAGTTCCCAAAAGCTAACCTATACCAACTTGACAGTATAGCTAAAGGATCCTACTTGCTAAATGTCAAAACAATGAATGCGTGAGTAATATAAGTTGCAAACTTATCTCGAGTTTCAAACAAAACGCAAATGTTATGACAGAAGACAAAGTTCGAGAACAGGTTCATTGCAAGCCACCATCCAATTCGTAAAAGCTTCAGTTAATACTTTTCTTCAACAACCAGAAGTAAGCGCAAGCGGGTACCAAAAGGAAGAAGTTTTCAACATTCGTTTTCAAAATCAAAAATAGAAACAAGAGCCCAATCATCCTAATATGTATTTATCCAACTTGATGCTCCACTTTTAAAGGAACATCACAATCCACAAGCTTTTGAACAAAATATTCCACCAAAGCACAATTCTATGTGGTTATAAGTGCTCAATTAGAAGTGGGGGATTTCATAAGGACAACATCCAAAAATATTCCGCGATCAGGTTACACATCATTGAAAGTTTACAGTTAATGGATAAGCGACGAATTCTTTTGTTGTGCAGACCTAATTCAAGGAACCAAGGGTTTGAAGAGTAAAACACCAACAAACACATTATGCAAAAACATTTGATCGTGGGAAGCCATCAAAAATTTCAAAACTACATAAGAAGCATGACTATTCTTAAGAAGGTGAGTATTCGTGTCACACACATGTCGAACACCAGAACTTGTTGGACACTCTCGGACACTTTTCCTATTTTCGGACATGAGTTCAACAATCCTTTGGTGGCATCAAAATTTAAGAAACATGACACAGGATTATCTTATACTATCAAATAATACACAAAGTGTTAAGACCAATCATGTTAAATTTCACTTAAAATCTATTTAACATACCCCC